TATAAGATATAACGTCCTTATATATTATTACTATATTATCCTTATATTTGGACCAATACAGTAATGCAGATTTATACTATACATGACATTTTTGGAGTCAGGATTATTTAAGTGAGTAATTATGTTTTACTTATGCCAGATGCCCAAGAAACCAGTAGTCGACAGGGATTTTATTTTCACAGTCTTGTGTTCATCAAAAGAGGCCATAGTCAAAAATGGCAACATAGCTACTCCTAATCAGAACATCTGGACCGAGCTTAGTAAGCAGCTAGAGAACAAGATCACTGCAAAGGCTCTATACACTTTTGTTAAATTAAACCGACACAACATCTGGACTGCTTTAGGGTTTACTCATGAAAGTGATAATGAAACAAGTGGCAGTAGTGATGACACTGATTTTGAGCCAGGGTCCCTTTCCCCCAGACCAAAAGATTGCTGGACTTTTGATCTTGAAGTTCCATTTCAGAAATGGATTGAATTTATGCCTGAAACAGTTCAATACAAAAACAAGTTCTCTAAAACACAAAAAAGGGAATACACAATTTTGAAGCATGGCATCTGGGCGCATGTGATAAATCACCACATTTGGCAAGAAGTGAAAAGCCCCTGCACATTTGCCTTTAAAAGAGCCAAGGTCTATTCATCAGCCACAGAGAAATATATAGAAATCAGAGGCAAGTGTAAGGAGTGTCATGGCCACATTCACATAAAATGTGACAGAGAGCCTGAAATGAACAGCCCAATGGTGCTAAAGTGTTTCATTAATAACACAGATGACTCCCTGCACACTGGCTGTTCCAAGCGTCCGATCTCTGGTAACGTGCGTGTGCAGATATCCAAAGAACTGTGTGAGGGTAGAATGGAACCCCATGTATGGAGGGCATCGGAGGCAACAAAGCTGATGGATTTTGGAGATCCTGAGCCAAGCCATCTGCCTAATTTGGCCACCCTGCGCAAAGCAAAGCAAGAGAGAAATGCCTTAGAACTAGGTGACAAGGATCCTATTTTGTCACTGCAGATGTTAAAATACAGCGCACCTCACAGTGGTAGCATTAAAGACATTGGATTGGACAAGTTTTTCTGTCACTATTGGAGTCAAACACAAATGTATATGTACAAGTCATTATCAAAGACATCTACTAACCCCACTGAGTTTTGATGCAACTGGCTCAGTAGTGAGGAAACTACAGAGACCAAATGGCACATCTGGCCATGTCTTCTTATATCAGGGCGTTCTGGCAGGTAATGAGAGCTCAAGTGTCCCAGTCGTGCAAATGCTGTCAGAGAGACATGATGTTAATGCAATAACACATTGGCTGACAGAATGGATACGTGCAGGTGCACCAACTCCAAAAGAGGTTGTAAGTGACTTTTCACTGGCTTTGCTCGGAGCTTTGGTCAAAGCTTTTACTCCTCATCCTGATCTGAAGACCTACATTAATGTGTGTTGTGGCGTCTTACTTGGTAATCAGTCTGCAAAAGTGCCACCTTGTTTTGTTCGGGTTGATGTTGCACACTGCATCAAGATGATCTGCCAGTGGGACTGCTTGAAGAAAAAAGCACATCGCGTTAAAGATTTCTTTGTGAGGTCAATGGCACAGCTTCTAAAGTCACAATCCATGGACGATGCTAGAGAGCTACTACGCAGCATTACTGTTGTGGCTCTCAGTGAAACAGAGGGCAATGACAGCTCTGGAGTCCCCCTCATATCAGAAAGGCGCAAGAAATACCTGAAAGCCCGAATTGCAGAAGAGTGTGTCATCATTCCAGATGTAGAGGGTTCATCAAGGAATTTGAACAGTAAGCACACAAACATGTAAATTTGTAAAAAAAAAAAAAAAAAAAGGAGGAAAAAAAGTAGGAAAAAAAGAAGAGTGAAGTTTAAAGTATTTGTGTGCAAAATATTTGTTGTTTTTTGTATCTAAATATTACTGTTGACTGTAACACGTGAACTGTTAACAAGAAAGTTACTGGGGTAAAAATTAACATCAGCAATTCTGAACGGGTTGTCTTGTGTTATGTTGTGTAGCCGGTTTCTGTTTTATAATAATCAGTGTTGAGTGACATAGTTTAGAGATTTGCCCTTGATTCGCGGAATTTCTGGTTTTTCAATTAATCATGAGTCCGCTACTCAGAGCCGACACATAAGCGAGCAACAGGGGCCCCCAAGAGCCTACATGCTTGATTTTATTTATTTAAAAAAAAAAATGTTTAATGATTTTTTTTGTGATATATTATGCCAATATGCAATGGTAATTATACAAAAACGCAATATAAAATAATTAAATAATCTACGTATCATCTTATTATTTCCATAACAGATGAAGCCTATGAATTTTATTTAGTTTTTCAGTTTTTTTATTCAGAATATCCACAAACTTGTTAACTGTATCATAAACTAGCCTATATGCTAGAGCCCATTCTGATGGTCAAATATGTGTAAATTAATTAGTTTAGTCGTTTAAACCACCTGCTAGTTGATCTATAATGCGAGCTGGACGCTGTCGTGTGGATCTGTCAGACTAGCAAAAGTTATAATAAGTAATCAAAAGCTTATTTGTTAAAAATAATCACGTAAAAAAATAGTCAATGTTTAAAAAAGACATTTTGATTTAACTTTTGTTTAGCATTTCTATTCTACAATTCTAAATTACAATTCTAAATTTCTATTCTAAATCATTACAAACTTACCATGAATTTTCTCCATGAATAAAAATGAAAAAAAATGCAGATCTTCTTGAAAGTGGATTTTATATAGCCTACATACAAAATTTTTTTTTTTTAAAGAATAAGAATAATTATTATTTTGAGGCAAAATGAAAACACAATATTATCTGGGGCCGAACAGTCATCGGGGATAAAGAGGGGTGTTCTACGACAC